ATGCCCCCCCCCCCCCCCCCCCCCCCCCGCTGGTCTCGAGCTCCGCTGTGCCCGCTGCGAGCCCGGGACTATTTTCACTGATTTGCTATTCTGCTCGGTACCACGGGGGTACTGAGCAGATTATCCCAGCCGGATGCCGCTATGTGAATAGGGGCGAAGTGCTGCGAGTGAGCTGCCGGAGCTTCGGCTCAGCCGATTCAGATGTTGGATCGGCTGAGTCTAAGCCCTTTTGCACTACGGCTGACCGAAGTGCAGCCAATGTACGGCTGAAAACAACCGTACTGAGCCGGAGTGAATAGCTGAACGTTGTTCGGCTCACTTCCCTTCGGCTGGGTTATGCACTCGGCTGCCTTCGGCAGCATTGTGAATAACCCCCTAAAAATCTTGATGGGGCTTACTGGTGAATTATATCCAATAACCCATTTGAATTAGATTTTTAATGAATGGATCTGCTGTTGCTTTTTGCCAGCATGGGGAAAATGCACCTAATGTTCCTCCTCCTTGCAGTTCCGAGTCACTGAGGCCTGTTCTTGTTGGTGGTGGGGGGGGGGGAGGCTATGAACTTTCTGACCATGAAAACGTTTCTTCAATTGCTCTTTTCTGGGTGCAGGCAAACCTTCTCGTCAGCTGACCTATCCTGGACCATATCTAGTTTGAGTCCGATGGGTAGATCTCCCCTAAAAGGTAGTCCACATAGTTCGGACTTAGATTATGTGTCACCCGACCACGTTTTCAACCAGATGGCTTTCCTAGAAGCATTTGTTAAAGCAGTGGTACTTGCTAAAAAATCTACAGATATCGTCAAAGGATTTGCAACATAAGGTACTGCTTTTAACAGAACTGGAAGGGACTTCAGAATCTGTTTTTCTAAGAGTCCTGGATTCTAGATGTGAGTATAAGTATGATAGCCACAAATCTAGAGTACACACAACACAGGTGGTTGCAAAGGACACCCCTACCTCCCAAGCCTTTTCAGGTCAGCTGAGCAGCTTATATATTCCCTAAGGTGTGTTTAGAGTTCCACCATATTGGTGCACCATGGCCTCAGACCTGTAAAGCACTGTGTGGCTAACCCACATTACACCAAAGGGGTCTCAACAGAGCCCAGTGCCCTCAGGAAACAATACAGGCTGACCCCCAGTTCTTCATCATAGCAGTAAAACATGTACGGCCTCCAAGGCTATGCTGAGGAGCAGCTAATCCATAGAGCTGAAAAATGAGCGCCACAGGCTCTGCAGCAACTAAAGGGGCTTGCTAGAAAAAAAACAATCTTGATAAAAAGCACAAAAAGTAAGAAAGAGTTTGCTTCTCTCTGTGGAGAGAAGTTGTCTGCTCTCCTGACACAAAAGCAAAAATAAACTAGAATATCATGGGAATGGGAAGGGGTATACTAGGCTGTCCTTATAGCTTTGTTTGCCAGCGTCCAGTCTCCTGACAACAGCAAAATAACCCAACATACCTGAATTACTCATCCCTGGCCCTTAATGTACACTTAAGAAAATAACTTTCATATTTTCATAAAGATTTGTAGATTGTCCACTAGGAGATCTTCACTGCAATGACATTACCTTCTTGATCTAACCACCACATAATACGGTTGATAGTAAGAGATACATGGCTGAAATTGTGTTTTTCTGAGAAATAAAAAACAAAATACTTACTCTTCAGGTTCATTCTTCATGTCCAGCCACTCACTGATATCTTTTTGTCGAGCCCCTTTTCCAAGCAGCCAACTGAAATATAAGATAAGACAGCAAAACATAAAATGTAGGCAAACAGGCACAAAGACAGCAGATGTAAACACATGTAGATCATCATAAGCACAATAGTGTAAACCCAACTGCAATCTTGACTTGCTACATGCTATAGTTCTAATTAAAACAAGCTCATTACGTTGAAAGGGATGGTGAATAATTTACCTCCAAGCACCAGCTAAAGGGCAAAACAGCATCACTGTATCCACATTGTTTTTTTTAATTAGGGGAGAATGAGGCCAAAAATCCCTGGTTAGGTCTTCATTGCTGCAGTTGTAGGGACAAGCTCACCAGTGCTCCACTGTAAACTAACCTCCCAGGTTCTTAAAGGAGAACAATGAGGTGAGTGATTTTCGCTCATCCCCATAGTTCTAGCCGACCTGTGACAATTAAACTGTCACAGGTCGGCTCAGTAGATCGAGAAGTGAGCGATCACATACCGGCACTTGCTCACTTCTCGATCCTGTCACTGCAGAGAGCCGTGACAGAGGAGGGACTAGATTCCCCCCTCCCCTATCCTCCAGCGCTGGCTGGCGGAACGGACGGGGCGGGTACAGCTGGCTCTGCCTCTAGATAGGCAGAGCCAGCTGTCACTCAAGCAGCTGGGTGGATCCAGACATAAATGTCGGGATCCGTTTCAGCTGCGGCGTCTCAGTATACCGCGAGCTGTAGCTCGCGGTATACTGAGCTTAGGGTGACGGGAGGACGCTAGTTTGTGTCCTCCCGTTACCCTTAGGAGAACTATGGGGAAAAGCCCTAACCCCATAGTTCTCCTTTAACACATTATTATGAAGAATAAAAGGAAGGATTTTAGCCACAAATGACAAGATAAAATGAATAGCCAATTAAAAGATAAAATAACAAAACCAGTTTTTGCTGATAAACTCAGTCTGATGACTAGCATCATTTAACATACTTTCTCTCAGAGCAGGTCGTCCTGGACCTGGCAGTCTGTTACTGCTCAGTAAGTACAGGAGAAGCAGCACAGTGATGAGCTCATCTCCCATTCACACTGCTATGGCCACTCGACATCCCCCTGCCATGTGAAACTGGGCAATAGAATACAGCCATCCTAGGTGCTTGTATACTCTGTGACTCATGGAGCAGCACATAACAACATGATAGAGATGACTACAATGTAACAAAGCCTGTGACTAGATAAGCAGATTTCAGCTGCACACACACAACTGGAATTGTATACGGATCAACCAACTTTAGAGACTTTTTATTAAGAGTGTTGGAGAGGAAAGATGAACGATACATCTAGATCCTGTGGCATATTATGATGGATTGTGCAGTATGTGGACATTGAAAGCACGGGTGTGTATGCAGGTTTTTGTTTCTAGGAAGGAGGAATGGACTCTGTTCTATTTTGAAGGAAACCGCAGAATAATTCCACCGTGCATTATGTAATAGTGCATTATTAAGTACACACATTAAGGAGATGTCATACAATCAAGGTTCTAAGCATCTGTGATAATGTGACGTGTGGTGCCTACAATTTCAGAAATAATGTGATGCCTCTGAATATGGTGTAAATACATCCACAGGAAGAATCATTTATTGGTGTGTGTGCATATGTGAGAGATATTGCCCTGGATATGTGAGGAAAGTATTTGTGAAGTCTGGTCATTTTTTCCCATGCAGAGGAGTTGTAAACCCTTGAGATGATGTAGCACATGGATGGGTAGTACATATATACGATTGTAAAAAAAAACATTTGACACAGGAAGATTGTAGTTCTCTAAATAAAAAATTAAACAAGGGTGGATGCACACTAGAGACATAGAGGGGAATTTATCAAAACTGGAGCAGTTGCCCATGGCAACCAATCAGCTTATCTCTTCAGTTGAGATTTGAAAATGAAAGAGAGAAGCTGATTGGTTGCCATGCACAGCTGCTCCAGATTTTGTCTGCTCTGGTTTTGCTAGATTCCCTTCATAATGGCCTTTATAACTGGAATATATTATGTGAGGCATGTTGCTTCTATAATATATGGTTGTGCAGTGCATATGAATATGAAAGGAGATAATCCTGTTATAGGAAGATTGTGGCCCCTTAAATGGAATTAAGGGTGAATACACACTAAAAGACATTTCCATTATAAATCAGAAAATATAGCTTGAGGTACATGCTGCTTCTGTGATTGCGATGATCAGAACTGCTAAAAGGAAGCAGCGGTGGACATACAAATAGACATCTATTTACCATCAGTATGGAATATACATTATGGGTTATGAATGATAAGGAACTTTTTACTAGAGACTTATCTATCATAAATGTTATTGGTGGGCCGTAGGATTTATAGTGGAATGTGGACAATTGTCCGGGATGTTAAACCAAAATATGCACTTTATGAGGTGGCTCTTTGAGAGTGGAGGTACTCCACAAGTAGTGCACTGTAATTTTAATGACCGATCAGTCATGTTAAGATTGTTATGCAAAAAGGTGTTTTTACTTTTTCTTTCTAATTGTATAAGAAATTGTATTTTTCTTTGAACAAAGCTACCATAATTTAAACAGTTTTATTCCTGTCTGGTGTGGCAGAATTTTGTCCTGTATTAAAAAGGGGATGTATTGCAGGGACAAGTCTATAATTTTGCCACTTTATAGATCATTGGTTCGACCTCATCTGGAGTACGCGGTCCAGTTCTGGTCACCAGTACTAAGAAAAGATGTCCTTGAGTTGGAAAAAGTCCAGCGGAGGGCAACCAAACTAATTAGGGGTATGGAGGACCAGAGCTACGAGACAAGGCTACTAAATTTAAACATGTTCACATTGGAGGTGAGGAGATTAAGGGGGGATATGATCTCCATGTACAAAATGTTCAATGGTGGTAGCAACATTAGCGATAAACTGTTTAAAATTAACTCCATTACAAAAACTAGAGGCCATCACCTAAAATTGGTGGAAAAAAAATTCCAGCACAAGGGGCGAAGGGGGTTCTTCACAGTAAGATCAGTTAGGGTCTGGAACTCACTGCCACAGGCGGTGATTTCAGCAAATAATGTGGAATTGTTCAAGAAACTTTTGGACGATTTCTTAAGGGACCGTAATATACAGGGGTACAGGTACTCCTAGAATGAGATCCTAATAGGTTGGACTTGATGGACTCATGTCTTTATTCAACCTCAAATACTATGTAACTATGTAAGAATTGCTATAACACATACTGTGAATGGTGAATGTTTCCATTAAAACATGTGGTGGCCGCTTGGTTATATTTTTTATCATCTCAACTTCAAGTGCTGGTAGGATGGGACAGGGCGCATCCTCAGTCTTTAATATATTATCTTATCTTTTTCAGGGGGTAAACCCTTTATATTATTTTGGAGACTAAGGAATATATTACAACATATTCTTATAGTCCAACGGTGGGATTGATGGGGAAAATTTGGGAGCTGGCAAAGAAGTTGATGGGTTTTATGTAATGATGTCACTTTCTGATTATTACAATAACCGAAGTGTGGGATCTGAAGAATACAAATGTTTTCACTGCTTGTTTTTGTAATGGTTAGATATGTTATGCTAATGTTCAGATGGTGTTGGCTGTATGTAACTATTGTAGAGTCTATGTGTATTTATTAGCAGTTTTTGTAGGTTTGTTAAAAATGGAAATATAAATGATCTGATTTAAAAAAAAAAAAAAAAACCTGGCATACAGCTATATATTGTGTGTTTAGGGGTTAACTGTGAAGTTACCCGACCCTAGTGATGATTACTCTCGGTCTGCTGGCACTTGGATTGTTGTCCTGTGAGCTGGAAAATCTTTATACAGAGTGATGCCGAGAGTGCCATCCTCCCTTTTTGACAGCAGAGGTACTGCAACAGTCACAACATCAACCTGCTTTAGACTTCCTATTGACTTGTAAAGGGACAGAAGCAGTTCTGATGCCAATAAAAGTCCTAGCTTTGGTACTGTAAAGATGTAGCCAGAAACAGGCGAGTGTTGTCCATAACAACCCATCAGGAAAACGGAATTAGAAAAAAACAGCTAAATTTGGATTTGTCTGCATCCTTTTACTCAATTTGAAAGGGATCCATGTCTGTTTCTCCAATTCTACTGGCTGGGAGCAGAAGAGTGAAAAAAACATAATAAATGAATGAAAATATTACACCACAGAGAGACTTGCTGCACCAAGCTACTTACACCAGATACTGGTCTCTAAGTTTACGCAGCTGCAAAAGGTCTGGCTTCAAGCTGTTCATTGTTTTGTCAATTTCACGATTTTCATTTGCTTGCTTTTTTAAGTCTTGCTCCAGTTTCTTCTTGCTGTCATGAATTTCGGTCACTCGAGACTTTAACTTTTCAGAATTCATTAAGATCCTATTGGTGAAAATAGTAAAAACAGATGTGAAAAACCAGGCAAAATCTGGGAGTACAGGAATGTAAAGCCCTGCTTCATGCATATATGTACAGTTCTATAAAACACTCTCTACAGCAGTGGTTCTCAACCTTTCTAGGGTCGGGACCCCTTGGTAACATTTGCCAAGTTGTGGTGACCCCCAAAGGAAAAATTTAGGGATGCGCTAGGAGAGAGCAGAGCAGTTACAGACCGGATCAAAACTGCGTCCAATGTATTCCAATGGTATTTTGGGCTCTAGTTCACACAGCAGCGTTCTGTTACAGAGCATGTAAAAAAATGCAGCAAGCCCTATTTTACCTGTTCTGGAACGCATGCAAACGCATCAAAAACGCATGCAAACGCCCTGAAAGCCCATTTTAAACTAAAAAAACACAAAACCTGCGGTATAACACACTGCACTGCGCATGCAGAAACTCATGCAGATCTTGTCTGCATTTGGTGTGAACAAGCCCTAAGGGAATTTAGACTGCAATATCATAAAAATGTGTAAAACAGTATTAGTTCTTTCGCTGCCAATAATGAGTAATGGCTTTAAAACGCGTAAAAACAAGCTCATGGCCCATTTTATATCAATAATGTAAATAAATAAAAAATATATTGTAATAAATAAAAGCTAAAAAAAGCCCCCCCGCTGCTCCATACAAACAAACGCGCACACAAGGTGTGTACGCGTATGCAAACGGTTGCAACACATACACTGGCTGCACATGCCAGAGTGAGAGGAATAATTTTAGATGTATCATTCACAGTTACCTCTAAACTGATGAGTTCTAAAGGCATTTAAAACATCACTTATTAGATCATTTTGGGTACCTTCGCTTTTCCTTGTTTCATGGAAAGTTTCACAGTTTTCAGGCCTGGCATATTTGGTATCTATTTACTTGTATCAGCCTCATCTATTTTATTGCCCCAAAAGTGAGGCATTTTAGTACAATTTGCTTTTAATGAAAAAAGGATTTTTTTTGTACTCACCATTAAATCATTTTCTCTGTGCTCATTGAAGGGCACAGCTCTGATTTACATAATCCCCAAATGGGTATATCAACATTTGCGTGAGTAGACGCAACTAAGGCCCCGTTCACACCTGTGATTAGAGTCTATTTCGAATCCTGCGGCCAGATTCACAGGTGTATGTGAACAGATGCTGTGGCACAGCCTAAACAAATCAATGACAGGCAGACGGAGGAGGCTGCAGCTGATTAAGATGTAATCGGACATTGCCAATTACATGCAGTTAGGGATAGGTAATCGCCTCTCAATTAAATTAAATAGATGCCAGAGGCTGAAAAATCCAGAAAGCACTAACTGCCGAGCTAGAGAGTGCCCTGACCGGGAAAGGAGGAACCTTGTCCTAGAGGTCAAAAGCCTGGAAGAAAAGCTATCGAATCCACCTAATGAAAGTGAAACAAGAATCAGGCTGTTCCCCCGAAACATTCAGGGAGAATTAACAAAGCTGGACTGGAGAGAATGAATATGAGCTGAGAGATAAGAAAATAAAAAAAAAACACAACTGAGGATCAGCGCAACAAGCTACTTGAAGAACTGTACAGTACACCTGAAGCTGGTATCGGATGAGACCTGAACATCCATCAGGCAAAACCTGAAAAACAGAAGACCAGGTGGCAGCCTTGCAAATTTGAGAAACAGTAACCTGATGCCAAAGGAAAGAGTGGCGCCAACCCTTGAAACCACTAGTTTGAATAATAGTCTGTGTGAGCCAACAAGAAATGGTGGCACAAAAAACTGGTTCACCCTCACAGGGGATCATCAGGAAAGACTAAAAGTGATGGTCTCTTACTACCTGAACTGCATCCAAGCAATGGAGGGAAATCTTCTGATAAACTGGAACAATGTCCTGGTTGAGGTAAAAGGCCCAAACTCCGTTAGGAAGGAAGAAGGTTCTAGGCCTCAAAACCTTCAGCCGGCTGGCTCGATGCTGATTGGCTGGGAAGCCGGCTTCTCAGACAATCAGCATTGAGACGGCTTCACGGCCAATCAGGAAGCCTGGAGGCGGGTCATTCCCCCTACAGCACTGCCAGTCAGTAAAACATTTTTGGGAAGGTATTGGAGCATTTGGGCAGTACAAGTACTCGCCCAAATACTCGGTATCATTGCATCCCTAGTTATCATGCAGCCTGAATTTACCAGCAACTGTTAATTTTAGAAGCAATATTTCCAAAAAAAACAGCAGAGGTGAAAAAGATGTCCATCCACCTTGAGGACACTACAGTGGCATGCAAAAGTATTCAAACCCCTTCTTGGCATTTTTCCTATTTTGTTGCATTATCACCTGGAATTAAAATTGGGGCTTTGTATCATTTGATTTAGGCCTCATTCACACACAACGCAAGCAAAATTGTATATTGCGTATATACACGTCTAGACACGCGTCTATGCGCGTATATACGAGCGTCTATGCGTGCACTATATGCAATCCCAGAATGCATCACTCGTAATGGAATTTTAATGTGCTGTACGCGCGTATATGCGCGGCAGTGTGAATGAAGCCTTACACAACATGCCTACTACTTTAAAGATGCAAAATATTTTTTATTGTGATACAAAGAAGAAATAAGAAACATGAGCATGCATAACTATTCATCCCCCCAAAGTCAATACTTTGTACAGCCACCTTTTGCAGAAATTACAGCTGCAAGTCTCTTGGGGTACATCTCTATAAGCTTGGCACATCTAGCCACTGGGATTTTTGCCCATTCTTCAAGGTAAAACTGCTCCAGCTCCTTCAAGTTGGATGGGTTTTGTTTGTGTACAGCAATCTAAGTCATGCCACAGATTCTCAGTTGGATTGAGGTCTGGGCTTTGACTAGGTCATTCTATAACATTTTTAAATGTTTCCCCTTAAACCACTCGAGTGTTGCTTTAGCAGTATGCTTACGTCATTGTCCTGCAGGAAGGGGAAATTCCATCCCAGTCTCAAACCTCGGGCATACTGAAACAGGTTTCCCTAAAGAATTTTCCTGTATTTAGCACCATCCATCATTCCTTCAATTCTGACCAGTTTGCCTATCCCTGTCAATAAAAAAATATCCCCACAGCATGATGCTGCCACCACCATGATTCACTGTGGGAATGGTGTTCTCGGTGTCATGAGGGGTCTTGGGTTTGCCCCAGAAAGCTCAATCTTAGTACCTTGCTCCATATGTTTGGGGAGACTCCCACATGCCTTTTGGCAAACAGCAAACGTGTTTGCTTATTTTTTGTGTAAGCAATGTTTTTTTTTAGATGATATACAGCAGTAGTTACAGACATGAAGACAAAACTAGATAAAACAAGAATACAAGACACAAATAAAAAAGAGCAAAACTGTATAATATGAAGAAAAAATATTATATGTTATTTAAATTATTATAAGTATATACATACGAGTAATTTAAAATAATAAATAAACCTAACTGGCAATTTTGTTTTCATAGACGTTTTCACCTTGCTTCACCCTTTTTGCAGCTCAGTGCTGCCATTCTCCTCCAGCTGGTTTCAGCCACTTCCTGTCTATATACACTTGCTCTAGCATTGTTTTACATCATTAAGGACAGGCTACATGTCTGTGGCATGGCCACTTGAAGCTTTCCCCAGTGGCATATATGACAGGGTGTCAGTGTCAGTTGTCACTCTGTCATCCCTTTACAGAAAGTGTCATCCCTTTACAGTTGTAAAGTTGTATACAGTTGTCATCCCATTACAGAAAGTGTCTGAACAACAACTTTAATTGCAGATCACTAGATATTTTAATAAAAGCTGCATAATTAAAACATTGAAAACATTTTGGAAATCATATAAACATTCCAAATTTTTTATGAGATTTTATTGATTAGGTTTACATATACATTAGGAAATGCTTACCTCTCAACCTCCTGGTTGTTGCCCTCTCTACGACACTTTTCAATGTAGTCCTTTGTGAAGGCTTCTTGGGTCTGACACTGCTCTTCAAAAATTTTGATTGTTTCTTTGAAAGCTTCAATGGCTGTGCGCTTCATCTGTAGTTCCTGTTACAAGAAAACAGAGAACGTGGATTTTAAAATGCTACAAAAGTGCAACATTTATCTACAGTACACAAATAATTCATGCCAAGGGCATACCTGAGTGGTTCTGGTATATTCCTCATAAAGAGAGTCAAATTCCCGGCTTTTGTCTCTGTACTGCTGATTATAAACCTTAAGCTGCTCGCCTACAGCTTCTACGCTGTCCTCTTTAACAATCTGCTCCTATATTTACATAAAACAAAAGATCGTAATTAAAAGGTACTGTATAGTGGTTTTGTACATTTTCTTTTACATACATTATAGTAAAAACAGATGTAAAGCATCAGTTCAAAAACAAACTTGTCATTTATGAACAGAACCTGAAAACTAGCTCAGTCATGAAGGGGTTAATAAATACAACTAAAATAAAACGGTTTCAAAACAATATAGTTTCCATGAAACAAACAGCAAAGGAAAAATAAAAACATTTAAATGAGATAGCCAGACAAATGATTGCTAACCTGCTGGTATTTGGACATGGGGTACAGCAATTTGATGTCCAGTTTGGGGTTGTACTGAGCCAGAGACTCATGCCTGTAATGTGTAATGAGACCCACCACTGATGTAAATGTTAGGGGTTCTGAGAAGCCATACATATTATCTCGATGGAATATCTTGATCAGTTTGTTGTTTCCTCCTTTCCTAAAAAGTAAATATCTTGATGAGCATCCTCACACAATATGTCAAAAAACGTATTTTTCATTGAAATGCTTTCATTGAAGAGTAAACATAATTGTTGCATGTGTATATAAAACCGGTATAAAGAACAGTATCAAGTTCAGAACAAGATCAGAAACCAGATATCTGTAGAGGCATTAGCATAGTACTCAAAACAGGATAGCCGGTTTACTATGTCAAGCAAGGCAGAAGGAGCATGATATGGTAAGAGAGGCACAATAGAGGGGAGGAAGATGCCAGTTGGGAGAAAGAGGGTAGGGAAACAGAAAGGAAAAGATTAGTGAAGGGGGAGGTTGGGAAGAGGGAGGTAGAGACCTAGGTATTTAACACATTGTATGCAAGTCATCCTATTACTGGCATAGAGCGTGAGTCTAAGTGGCAAGTAGGCTTCAATATACAGGAGTCCATATCTTTTCAAATTTTGTCAAAGTGTAATTTTGCAGTACCGTAACCTCTTCATAAAAAACTTCACAGAATACAAAGCAAAAGGATTGAAGGAGACTTCCAAGCTTGAACCAGCACCTGTTTAACAGCTGTAAGGATGTGTGTGACCAATTTAAATTTGGGTATGTGTACAGATTTTTTTTTTTTTTTATTAAGGTCAGCTTCAGCAAACTCTTTACAGGCAGTGTTTCCACATGTGCAGAAATTACCCTTCCATTGGGCAAACTGGAAAGCAATGAGAAGGGTAGCCAGGGACAGAACCAGAATGGGAGATTTGCGAACTTGGTGCCAGGTAAGAGTGCTTTAAAATTCACCTCTATTGCAGGTCACCCATAATAGGGGTCCGCTGTTGAAGGAAATGTTTTATCTTGAGATCCTGAAAACTTCCACTGGCCGAAGTTGGTGGGAGGCTTGTAGAGTATGGAAGAGGATCATCTTAAAAGGGTTTGGAAGTGTTTCACTAAATAGAGCTTGCCTCTCATCCATTTTCTAACAGCCTCAAAAATGATATTTTAATGCCTTACAGCCATGAAAGCGAGAAAGCACTAAAACAAGGGACTGCTTGCAGATCATAGTGCTGCCAGTAACACATTGCGTCTGAAGCTGGCATCCAAAGAGACATCCACCTGGTAGGACTGATAGAATGTTTGAAATTAAGGCTAGTATGCAGCCTTGCAGGCATGTGAAACTGAGGTGCCGAAAAAACAACCAAAAAGCGCTCACAGCCTTGGTGAGGAAAAAGGAAACCTTATGATTGAGGCCATAAGCTTTAACTTTGCTATGACGGATACACTGTGTAATGGTGGAATTAGAGGCCACCTGGTATGACAAACTGGAAATCTGTTTTTATGAAGGAAGCCGATGGCTGAAAAATAATCACAGACAGCGTGGACCACATCCGGAAAACAAAGGGAGATCTCCTTCTGGTGAAATTATGCCAGACGCAAGAACGATAGTACAATGTCCTGGTTGAAGAAACCCTGTCCTCTTGATTTTTCTAATATATATATATTTTTATTGTAAGGTAGAGGTAAGGCAAGGGAAATATCTCTAGCCAGTATAATGACCTGTAAGGTGCCTCTTTCCTTCATTCACTAAATGAATGCTGATTGCTGCCATATTGTGGCGGATGTCAGCAGACCCACCTGCCATTCATCTGACTGTCATGAGAAGCTGTGGCAGGATCTTGACTTTGGTATGTCCTGTTTTGCCATAACCTCATGCTTGTAAACAGGCCAACACGGGGGTAAAGTAGCATTGTAAAGCAAATGGCCATGGAGAGAAAAGTTAAAAACATCTGGGAGAGACAAACGTCTATCATTCAATGCAGTTGCTATTGAGAAATCTACTCAGTAGATCAGCATCCATACCTATGGGCAGGACACAGTGAGACACACTTGCCTACAGTCTCTTAAGGCTCCATTGACACCTGAGAATGGCTGATCACATTGTCACAAATTTCTCTGTGTGATCTGTAGGTGGGAGGTACAGTATAATACAATGACAGATGCCACAGCCCGCAGCTGTTTTCAGGCCATTTGCAAGTAATCAAACAGACTGCGATCACCTGCAGACGGTTGCACCTGGATTCAAACAGTGAATTTCCAGGTGTGGCCATCTGCAGGTAATCGTAGCCTGTAAACAGATGCAACTGTGGGCAGTGACATCTTTCATTGTATTATACAGCCCGCAGAAGATCGCATGGAGGAATTCTTGTGACTCATGCGATTGGCACCAAAAATGAAAGAAAAAGTGGTTAAACTACCTGGACGGGGCAGAAAAAGGGAGCTATCAACGGCTGCAAACAGATTTCTGAGAAGGCAGGTTGAGAAAACCCCTTCAGTGCATGCAAAAGACCTGCAGCAAGACTTGGTGGCAACAGGCAATGATGCCCTATGGATCAGCGGTATGTCTGGAGAAAATAGTATGAAACATATACTGAAAGAACACTCGGCTTACAGTTAAGCATAGTGGTGGCTCAGTGATGCTCTGGGACTGCTTTGCATCCTCTGGCACTGGAAAAATGCAGCATGTGGAATGTGAGATTGATTCATTGAAGTATCAGGAAATCCTAGGAGAAAAGATTCTACAGTGGCGATCACAGTCACCTGACTTGAACCCCATAGAAAATTTCTGGTGGGATTTGAAGAAGGCAGTTGCAGCACACAAACCAAAGAATAATAGTGAACTGGATACCATTGCTCATGAGGAATGGGCTAAGATTCCTCAGGAACGATGCCAGAAGCTGATGTCTGGTTATGCATCTCGTTTGCAGCAGGTCATAACAGCAAAATGGTGCTCTAAGTACTAAAGATGCTCATCATGAAAGGGTTTAATCATTTTGAGACTGCAGAAGTCGTTAAAAGTAGCATTTTCAGTTGAATTTGGGGAAACGACTTGAAACATTTGTTTTGTTGACCTATTTACTTCTACTAAGTACGGAACTTCGTATCTCAACATCCCTAGATCAAACCAATAGGAAGGGGCAGAGCCAAGCATCAACTCCCTAGGTGAAGTTGAAATTAGCATGATAGAGAGCCTGTAGTCTCACGTCTTCCAAGAAACTTTAAGACTAAGCTTAATGTAGCTGATGGTAATCAAACATTTACAAGCAACTGCTGGGAATTGACCAAAATTATCATGGTTTCTGTTTAAGTCATGTTTCCTATATACGCCATCGAGAACCAGAAATAGTGTAATGAACAGGACATAAAACTGACTATCTTTTGGTTATTAAAAATTACAAAATATTTTTACCTGATAGTAAGCGTATATTCCCTCAGAATTTTGCTGTAAGCATCTCTCACCAAAAATGTCCCATCTGGTGTATCCCGGAGTTTATCATTCACCTCTTCTCTAAAGTCATGCAAATGAAAAAAAAATTCAAAATAAGTATTGTCAATTTACAAAAATATACACCCTTTAACAAAACCCCTTTGTCGAACCCCTGAAACCCTTAATAAAGAACTACTTGGCCAAGGGTCTTAAACCACTTTTACTGATGTGAATGTGCAACTATGTAAAGCAATGCATACATTTTCAGCGCTATACAAATACCTGTAATAAATAAATAAAATAATCTATGTGTGTTCTGTTCCTTCCACACCTCCTTTACAATAGCTGTAGAATAGTCATGCATGTCCAACTTCCTAGTATGCGGTGAAACACATTTTTCCTCCCCTCTGAATATGCACAGCCATGTCACCATTGCAGACAGCGTATCACTGAAACTACAAATTTATGTAGCTTCTATGCGTTCGTACATGTAGCGTTGATGGTAGCAGTAAAACCCTGCCTTCAGGATAGCCCTTATTTGTCAATCACTTCAAAACTTCTCCTCTTTTACCCAGAGTTTGACAGAGCTGCTTAAGCATCTAAGCTTGCTGGTCTCATTGTGAATATGTAGTCCTTAGAAGGCATCCGTGTATCATGTGAAGCTGCGGAAAAGGCGCTGTAATTGCATGCAGAAATCGCAGGAACTAATACACGGTCAGAAGATAGGCCACACAGAATTATTTTCCACACAAATTCTATCATCTGGCAAAATGAGCTCCATCTACACACAGGAAGGAAGTTTTTATATATAGTATATCTATACGGTATATATCTATATATAGATATATACACAGGGGTGTGGAAATTTTTAAAAAAACTACTTGTCCAAGGACTAAAGCGGGGGCCGAATCTACTTGTCCCTCATGACAATCTACTTGTCCTGATACAAAAAACATTATTTTAACCAAAACCGTATTTTGATTGCATCACTTCCGGTCCCTGGGCTGTCAGTTCTGGGTTCCTGAAGCCCAGCTATAAGCTATTGAAGTGCGATCTGCACTTCAATAGCTTATTTCTAGTGTAAAGGTGACACTGGGGGTCTCTTGGACCCCCAGCATCACCTTAAAGAGTACCTGTCACCACCATCTGCTATCACATGGGGGGCTTGTAAGCCCCCCTATGTGATAGCAATCAAAGTAAAGTAAAAAAAATAACAGTTTTTAAAATTAAAATGAAATAAAATAAATCTAAAAATAATAAAAAACTAATTTTTAAAAGTCTCCCGCGAGCACGTGCATCGCCACGTAATCACGCATCGGGTGCGCCTACGTATGAAAACGATGAACGCGATATACATGTTGGGTATCGCCGCACACGCCGGAGTGAGAGCAAAAATTCTAGGGCCAGTATTTTTGGGTATCTCTAAATTGATCACCTGTGGGGGCTTTTAAACCGTTGTCCATGGACTTTTTGGGGTACTGAGGTTTGTCACCGTTTCACGGACGCACACAATGTTTAGCCTGGTCATGTTGGGTATCTATTTACTCATTGTAACCTCATCTTTTATATTTGATAAAAAAAAAATGGGTATTTTATTGTGTTTTGGGGCATTTAAGTACATTTTTCACTAAATTGTGGGGTTTGATAAGGAGTTGCGCTAATATCGTGCAACATAAACATTTGCAACTGCCGCCATTTTATTCTATAGGGTCTTGCCTTTCATAAAATAGATATAATGTTTAGGGGTTTTAAGTAATTTTCGGGCCTCAAATGTGGAATATAACATGGGTGCAAAAAATGAAAAAAAGGCCTCAGTCATGAAGGGGTTAAAGGGTTCCGGAGGGCTTGGCTGCGATGGGGGTTAAAGCATATCTATTTTCTATATCAGTTAGGTACAACATACATTATCTGGTGAGTAAACAGGAATCACAAATAGAATAACACCTAGTTGAAAGACTATGTGGCACTAAATGGTGTATGATGTTTTAGAAAAACCCCAAAACAAAAATATTGAACTCACCTAGAAACGTCCCCCCAGTACCATTCTGCCTCCTGCAATGTTCCCCCACCTATGATGGTTGGACAGGCTGGCGGTTTAGATTTTGTTGGCTTTGGAGGGAGAGCTAAAAAATAGCAAAGGAGCATAATGAAAGATCACATTTGCTAAAACATATCACTACATGCTCAGTTCACCAAGATGGGGAGATATTTTAATTCCACTCCTTATCTTCTATTATTTCATATTTATCTCATGACAATTTTCTCCTAAAAACATAAATATCACTTTAGTACACATTTTTGAAACATTTACTATTGCCACATTTTCTAAAACAAAATGTTATCTCTTTTATTTATTTTTATCACCACCTCAAAGATATGCTTTTCTTCCTTACTTCTTTACACATTTATCAAAACCCAGTTACCATAAGCCTGAAGCTAGTGTTTTTGTAAGGAGCACTAACCTGTGCAGTAATCTTTGTGAATAGACTTAGATTTCCATGATCAGAACAGCAATTAAAATAACAATGACAGTGTCAAAACGTTGAGTGACAAAACAGTTAAAATGTAGGCAGCAAAAAAAAAAAAAAGAATGTTCAACATTCAATGTTCAAGAATGTTAGCAGTTTTCTAAATTGAGTGTCTAGAGATATGAGCTATGCGCATTGAAAATGCCCAAACAAGGAGAAAACATCTTGGTAAACAAAGTCTCATTGAAGGCAAAATATGTTTATGCTATTTGTAAAGAAACAATAGATTTTAAATAAGAAACATTGCATAATGCATTTTAAAAAGAGTATTCACATGCATCCAGTATGTACGTAGCCTATTCATTTGAACAAACTGCCAACGCACTACAATGGATATGCACGATTTTTCCAGATAGAGGACACCACAACACATGGTAGAGCCTGGAACCCCCATAGCAAACACTTGCGATTGGGCTTATGCAAGAACCCGACTTAGTCTGAATACAAAGCTATGCAGGCATATGTATAAGCGATATAGATTTCTCAACCACTTAGGTTTTACTTTTACTGACGGGGTTACGCACAAAAGGGTGAAGAGTTTGGAGAAGGTAGGAGAAGTGAACAATCTAGGCCAAATCAGCTGATTTGGAAAAATTCTCCAATTCACCTCACTTTCCAGTTCAGATATGTTGTCCTAGATTGTTCACTTCTCCTGTCTTCTCCACCCTCTTCACCTTTTTGTGAATAACCCTGTGAGTCTCAAATTTCAGCTTGTGCCAGGGGTCAGAGTTCACCTGAAGTCAAACAGCTATTGCCCTGTTAAAGGAAACCTGTCACGAGCGAAATATGGGGCTGTTATTGCTGACCTAATTCTGAAAATGTTAACTGCATGGAGGTCAGAGGACTCATGCTGATATTTCAAGTGATTGTCTAGCCCAAAGTTTTGCCTTTGAGAGGTATTTTAATGCCAGGGCTCTGTTAAAGAGTTCTCCCTCACATCGTGTTTTGGTGACAACAGTTTCAGGGAGAGGTAAAAAAAACTCTCAATGGAACCCTAGGAAGCAAGTTCTATCTAAAACTAAACAAAAAAACTGGTAAGACTAGACTTTCAAGGAACTAATGTGGAAAGATTATTAAAGCAGTATTAAACTCTCAAGCGTTTTTCTACAATAATCAATCCATATTCAACCAACATACACTGTCCAGCAAAGTATTTCTTTATATTTTGCCCAATTACAGCCATCGTGTTTCTGAACAGCTGGCTTAAACTGTCTCAGCTCGGCTTCCCTGAATTTCCTTCAGTACAAGTTCACAAAAGGACAGAGCAGCTGCTGTCCAGCAGCTGTCCATCTACTAACTTGGAGAAGGGAGGAAAGGGGAGCAGGTAACAGGGGAGTGGCTTACCTTGCTGTTCATGTGTGTTTGTGGAGACACGCACAGATTACTAGCACACACAAGGGTGGCTCAATAGGGCCCAGGAAGGGAAAGGAGCTACCCTAAAACAGGATATCAGGGCCAGTGCTCATGGGACCAGCTGATTCTGCAGGAAGCTTAAACAGTTAAATATTGAGGAGCAGCATCCATTGTAAGTGATTTAATCAGCATCATTTGAAAAAGCTTATACTTTTGACTTTAATATCATTTTTACACCAGAAAAGATCAAAGTATGCATAATGGATATGCATCTGTGGCTCAAATTTTAAAGCAACTGCGCAATCATGACAACCAGGCAATAGCAGTGTCAGAATGTGAGATCAACGATGGTGCCCTTCCATGGTTTTCTAAATTAATTTGTGACAGGTGTTGTTTAACCTGAGGGCATGCAGTTAGCAACAACTTAGTTTCAGGAAATTTCGGACCCAATTAAATAGGTTTATTATTTTATAAATCATTCCATGGGTCAACATAAAATGGTCATTAAAGGGAGTTGCATGTTAAATTTGAGGCATGACATCAATGTTAATGACTTTACAACATGATAAGAGTACCTGGGGGCGGATGTTCTACAGGAACATTATCCTGCAGCAAAAGCTCCAGGAGCACAACAGGATAATCTGGCAACGCTTCTGCCCTGTACGTGAACAAAAAACCAGAATGAGAAAATCAGCAACAGGACATTCCAATAATTATACCTTCCAGTCTAAACAACATGTTTTCTACAATTTCTATTACATTTTCAATGGCAGATAAATTAAAGCTGAATAACAAGCAGACATAAAAACATCATTTAATGCAGTTGTGTATTAATTTTAAAACAAAATTAATTATTAAATTATTATTACATAGTATTTATATAGCGCCAACAGTTTGCGCAGCGCTTTACAATATAGAAGATATTACAATCACAATACAATTGAAGACAAGATGGTAAGGAGGGCCCTGCCCCTGGGGGCTTACAATCTACAAGAGGAGGGGTAAGTGATACATGAGGAGGTAAATGGATTTTACATAGAATAAGTACCTACATGTTTATCATCATTTGGTTATGGTCTGCACAGCTGTACGTTTTGCATTATTCATCATATTTCATATTATCCATATGCCATCTTGCCTAGTCTATTCATCAGCATTAGTAGGAGCTCATGAAGTGATGCTATAATCCCTTCATCAACTCCTCACTTCCTGTGAGGTAATGGATACAACACTGTCCTCAGTATTGTATCCATTACGTCACAGGAAGTTCTCTGTATGAACAATTTTTTTTTATTATTCTTTGCCAGGAACTGGGCTCTCTCCTGCTCTTTGCAGTTACTTGTTTTCAAAAATACAGCTGTCAACTAATAAGAAGGGAGAACAAAGGACAGGGCTGGTAGCAGCTACACTGGTCCATGCAGTGATGTTTTCAGTCCCTTCTGCAAAATGTAGCTGCACCATGAAAATTGATGAAGCTAGGAAAATACTTGTGTAAAAACATAAAGACCTGCAGCAAGACACACAGAATACCTTTTTGGGTAATAGTCCAGTTTTAAAATCAGTGGAAGTGACCATCTGCCTGTACCCAGTGTTGCATTACCATGCATCATCAGCAGAGGGAGAAGCTTAGAGCCACAGAGAGAGATGGACACTAAATTGGGACAGAAGCTGCAACAGCAGACAGCTGTATTTTCTGCAAAACTGAGCTCTCTGAACAAAGTAGTGTGTGTGTGTGGCAGTCAGCCAAATGATCCATGGTCTGCTCTGTTTTATTACACTGCATTTTATAATATGCATTATTAATATGCATTCAGGGCTTCATTGTTATAGCCTTAGGGGCTTGTTCACACCAAATGCAGACAAGATCTGCATGAGTTTCTGCACACGCAGTGCAGTGTGTTATACCGCATTTTTGATACGTTCTGGGCCGTTTTTGGTAGTTTAAGATGGGCTTTCAGTGCGTTCCAGGGCATTTGCATGCGTTCCAGAGCAGGTAAAATAGGGCTTGCTGCAGTTTTTTTACATGCTCTGGAATTGAACTCTGCGGTGTGAACTAGAGCCCAAAATACCATTGGAATGCATTGCTCCGGTCTGTAACTGCTCTGCTCCTGGAATATGCTTGGTGTGAACAAGGCCTTAGTGCCGTTGGTATGTCGGCAGTGCATGCATCTCTGTTTTTGGTTTAAAAACACTAGAAAAATAATGTTTAAAAAATGCAACAAATTGTAGCAAAAGTAACTTATGTGAAAACAAAATATGTCATGTGACATAGCTTGTAAGGCTACACTCCAGGCAAACATTACATAAAATGCACAACACATGTAAAAGAATAGACTGTCTGCACTGTCGTGTAGATGCCAGCCTCAGTATAAACACTTACACATACCAATAAATCAATAAGAGATAACTCCCCGGCTGTCCATGGAAAATTCCTAGGAGGGCCAACAATCAGGTATAAGGCATTGTCATCCACCACAAACCACATAGTACATATACAGCCAAAGAAAAAGACAGCGAGGTTTAACGCGAGTCACCCTTAGTTGGAAATATTACAGTGACAGCGTATAGTTACAATTTCTAATATTTTATTAATAGATCTGTTAAAATTATTCTCAATGAAGAACAAATTTAAATAATCAAGAGTGTCCTATTGACTGGCATTATAGTCCCACATAACTCAGCACCTGAAAGAGACAACCACATTTTTTAACTAAATATGTGTATAAAGTCAATAGACAGGGATCCTGAAGTGCTGACGAATGATTCTGCCTCGATGCATTTCGCCTTTACCGGCTTCCTCAGGAGAGGGACTTAATGCCTAAAGGTAATCAAGGCTACGCAATGTACACAGAGATACCCAAAGGTCACTGACCATACCACCCCTCCCCCCCCCCCCCCCCCCCCCCCACACTGCACAGGGGGGGCTGGGACCACAGGAGGGGCAAGGCCCCACTCAAATCACCAAAGTGGCGCTGTACATAATCTTTTAGTGAAATCCCTCCTTTGTGGCGAGACAGCACACCACCACACAGATGGGCTCCTCCCAGGTGTTGGGGGTAGCAGTGACATCTAGGGCTGCCACCTCTGGGTTTGCATCTCGCTGAAACTAGCAAATTTGTTTGGGAGCTTTTCTGTGGGCCCCTACCATTCCCTCTAGGTACAGCAACCTAGTAGATTCCTACTGGATCGTCCTCACCTACTACTTCAACCTCCACCTCAACCTCATTAACTGCCTGCTCCATGAGCAGAAGACTCCTCTCAAGGTTGTCAAGTCTTCTCAGTGTTGCAACTCACTCTTTACGATTTCTAATGTGAGCTTCCAGGAGTGCAACCTGCTCACATCTGTCACAGCGGTATTCAATGTGGAGCTGTTTCTCCATCTGTGAATACATGTGGCACACTGTGCATTGAGCAAATCCATCAACCTTGCCAGCACACCTTATCCAAGTTATTTATATTACTTAAAGGAAGTTTAAGATGTTACTTACAGCCAATTTGTTCACAAGCCTCTGTGAGACGTTTGTGTTTAGAACAACCACAGTTCTCTTGCCCTTGTTCACAAGTGGGTATTATACATTTGTCTTCTAATGCTTGTTCTGGCAGACTGGGCTAAAAGGCAGCCAGTTTAATCATTAGCTATTAAGGGTCCATTCATAACTGTCAGTTCTAATGCATTGCATTAACATGTGTTATGTCATGCGTTAACGATTGTTGCGTTAAGGCAGCCCGTAAAAATTGAATCGCCCGTCAATGCACCAGAATGGACACAAAAAAATCTGACATGCACCACTTTATTTTGATGCAGAGCACCAAAATGCATGGTAGTTTGTTACAGTACACTGTAGTGCACTGCAATGCATGTGCATCGGATGTGTGTTGGATCAATGTGCTGGGGGTGCCTTTGACAATGAATGGAACCGCAACATGCTAATGCAGGTGACACTCGTTAATGTACTTGAAAGGTGTGAATGGGCCGTTGGTTAATAATTGCCTGTAAAATCCTTTTATTAGAGTACATTGCAGGATATGAGATCTTGTCTATATATGTCTTGGAATATCTTGGAATATGGGTCATGCAGTTGCCTTCAGGTGAGTGGAGACTGGCAAAAAAAAGCAGCCATATATATGGACAGCCATATATAACATCGCCTCAGTTTTGTAGCAACCAATAAGGAGTGCAAGGACCTGTGTACTGTAAGGATTTTAAAAGGTGAGACGAAAGCCCCATTTTCTTAATCGCACATTACAGGACACAGAAACTTTTAGTCTTAGACCATGGCAGTCCAACTGAGGGGTGGGCAACACAGCAAACAAACGCCAACAGGCCCATGTAACAAAGGGGTCAAGAGAAAGGCTCCATAGAATTAAGAGCAGCTAGTAGCACCTTACAACTAAAACAATTCTCATTATGGATTAGTTGATTCCGATTGATTCAGCCTGCCGCCACAACTCTGCCCAGTGCTCAGCTGCTCCCCCTGGCCGCCGCAACTCTGCTTAGTGATCAGCCGCTCCTCCCCTGTCCGCCACCACAACTCTGCCCAGTGCTCAGCTGCTCCCCCTGGCCGCCGCAACTCTGCTCAGTGCTCAGCCGCTCCTCCCCTGTCCGCCACCACAACTCTGCC